TCGAGACGTGGAGTTTTGTTGTGTTGACAGTTTGTGGATCGGTCGGGTGGCTGGTTTGGAATCGAACTCAGATATAGGTCCGCAGCATTTGTAGGGCGTGCTCCGTATGGCCGGGCTTATTATGCTAAGGCTCCGATCTGATTGTTCGGTTGTGCAACTAATCAGGAGATTTCATGACGAGGTGGGTTGCACGATCCACGAGTCCATCCATATCTTGTAGTAGAAAGTTTTACACGCAGCATCTGGTTTTTTGCCCGACTTGCAGTATCGTTCGGCGTTTTTATTTACATATATTTTTTCAAAATTTTCTACAGTGCCTCTAGGGTTGAACGCTTGTCAACAAGGTAAAGTATATATGGTTTCGGAATTACGTTGTTTAACTTCGACACATGTACATAGCAGTGTAGAATGTGAACTTTGAAAATATTTACTCAAGAAAACTATGCCTATGTATGTAGAAGTCATAAATAGTTGTTTGTTGTCTTTTGGAGATATTGCGTACAAAATCTTTTTTATAAAAGTAGCAACTAATGGACATAATAACTTTGTTATATTTAATATCATTAGATTTTTTTTTAAATTTAGTCATTTTAGGTTGATTATGATTAAAAAAATATAATCTTAAAATAGATTAGATTTTTTGTAGTTTTAATTTTTTTCAAAGTATAATTAAGAGTTTTTTTTAATCAAGTAAAAAGTCGTAAGTTTAATAAAATTAAATCCTTATTTTTAGGTACAATAACTTTCTTACATACTACAAAAGAAGAATTTCATTGTGTTATTTATGCCACATCTATTGTTAATGGCAAAAAAACTTCAAATGTCATTCCAAGCCAATATTAAGATTATCAAGTTATTTTTGAAAAAAAGAATGTAAATACATTGTTCTCTCAATCAATTATTAAGAGGAAGGTCAATTGCTATTTGGACCAATATATAACTTATTACAAAATAAGTTGGCTAAATTCAAAGAATATATTGATGAGAACTTAGTCAAGAATTTTATACACCATTCTAAATCTCTAACAGGAGCTTATTTTGTTTGTAAAAAAAAAAAAGATGGATCACCATGAATGTTTGTGAATTATCAAAGGCTCAACAAGTTTATCATCAAGAATCGATATTCTCTATCTTTGATATTTAGATTCCTTGATTAATTCAATCGAGCTAAATTTTATATAAAATAGATCTATAAGGAATATGAAATCTAATACACATGAAAGAAGGAGATAAATACAAGATTAAATTTTGAATTAAGTATGGATATTTTAAATATAATATTAAAAATATAAATATTTTTTATATCCACAAATGCACTAATTACTTTTCAATATCTAATAAATAATGTCTTTTGAGAATTCTTAGATAATTTTGTTGTTTGTTATTTAGATAATAATTTAATCTACTCTAAGAACATAGAAAAATATGAACTTCATGTTTGTTGTATGTTATAAAAACTAAGAAATGTAGGACTTTAAGCCAAGATAAAAGAAAGTGTGTATTTTATATTACTCAAGTTGACATCTTAGGATATATCATTTCAAATGATGGCTTTATGATGGATCCTAAGAAATTCCAAATTATTAAAGACTATAAGGTTTCAAAAACAATAAGTGATGTCAAATGTTTTTTGAAATTTACCAATTACTATTAGATCTTTATGAAGATTTTTTTTTTAGGTTATAGCTTTACTTACATGTTTGACTTGTAAAAATAAACTTGAGTGGAATAAAGAAGTTAAAGCATTGTTTAAAGCTTTGAAGACAACTTTTATTTTTGCACCAATCTTATATTGCGTTAATTTTTCTAAGGCATTTTTTATGAAAATAGATGCATTGAACTTTGCTTTAGATATGGTATTATTACAAATAGGAATAAATGACAAAATCCACTTTTTTTCTTTTCATATGAATTTATTTTCAGTAATAGAGATTAATTAGAAGATTTAAAATAAATATTTTTTTTACAAATTATAGATCTGTTTTAAGAATAGTACCATTATCTAGAAGGTGCTTTAAGTTTAACAATTATTTACATAAGTCATAAGAATCTCAAGTATTTCATATTAGCATGTATTTTAAATTTTTGCAAAATCCATTAGAGCATGTCTTTATTAAGATTTAAATTTAAGATAACATATCGACCAAAAAAACAACAAGGTTTGTTGAATGCCTTTTCTAGATATTTTCATCTTATATCAAAAGAAGAAGATACATCTTTTGATCAACAAAAAAATAATTCTCTTTGAACTAGAGCAATTTCATCTTTAAGCAATGAAATCTATACTAATTATTGATTCAACTTTTCTTAAGTAAATTCAATCAAGTATATCATCTAATCTTCTTGTTTGTGATATTAAAAAAAAAAAAATCTTCTAAATCTCAAAATACTTCCAAGTTTGAATTTGAAAAAAATTTATTCTATTTTAAAAGATGCTTATATATTTCAAAAATTAAAATATAATTATGAACTTTTCAAACTCATTATAATTTTTTAATTACAAAATATTTTGGATAAAATAAGATCTTAGAATTCATTTCAAGAGATTTTTGGTAGCTTCAAATGTGAAAGATAGTCAAAAGATTTGTATAATGATGTAATATTTTTTTAAGTTCAAAAATTTCTTATCATCAACCTTATTGACTTCTTCAACTACTATCTTTTTTAAAACAATCATGGTCTTTTGTTTCTATGGATTTTATAATGAATCTTTCAAATTTAAGCTCATATGACTCTATATTTATGACAATAGATTATTTTACTAAAATGGCACATTTTGAACTATGCACTAAATCTATTATATGTGAAGAAATAACTAAACTTTTCTTTCACAATATCTATTACTACCATGGATTACTAACAAATACTATATTTGATAGAGAAATCAAATTTATATCAAGATTTTAGAGAACCTTTTTTAAGATATTAAAAGTAGACATAAAATTAGCTTTGGCTTTTCATTGTCAAATTAATAGATGAAAAGAATAGATAAATCAAGTTTTGGAGCATTATTTGTAATGTACCATCAACTACTATCAAAATGATTGAACAATTCTTTTGCCATTGGCAAAGTTTTCTTAAAATAATACAATACATTATTCTTTTCATCAAACATCTTTTTATGCTAATTATGATTATTATCCACAATTGGATACTTTTGACTTTTTAAAAATTGATAATCTTGTGATAAAAGATTTTATAAATCATTTATAAGAGCTTTATGTAACAATAATGACACAATTAAAAGAAGCTTAAGAATAACAAAAGATTAAAGCAAATGCTTATTGCAAGGAACAACTTCAATTCCATATGGGCAATAGGGTATGGTTACTTCATCATAATATCAAGACTATTTGCCCTTATGATAAGTTGGATTAAAATAAATTTGAATCATTTTTTATTTGTGAATAAAAAAATCTAATTGCTTATCAATTACACCTATTGAATTCTATGAAGATCCATCTTGTGTTCTATGTATCTTTTCTTGAACCATATAAGATAATAATATAATGGAAAGAAGACAAATGCTACCTCATGCTATAGAAATAGACAATAATCAAGCGTTTGAGGTCAAAGAAGTCTTAGACTCAAGGTAGTGCCAAAATAGGTTGGAATATCTTATTTAGTGGCACAAATATGATATTTGATTTTATATATAAAAAGTCTAAAGAATAGCATTTGCATTGTCTTCTACATCAAATAAGTAAATTATATTATTATTAATATATTTTATATATAATTTTTCTTATATTGCATCTTTCAAGAAATCTATTCTTTTGTTGCATATATTTACTATTATTTTTTTTAATAATATTTCTTTTAAATTTGATCATTAGATAATAAATAATTGAATATTATTTTTACATTATACTTAGATGAACCACTAAATATAAAGACATCATCACCTAATATATTGATATCAAATTTTTAAAGAATTGACAAATATCTTTTTGCAATAGCCATGTAATATATCTATAAAAATATAAAGATGTAATTTATATCTATAATATCTATTATTTACTACAACAAATTTACAAAAGGACAACATATTATAATATAAACCTTCATATATTAATTTCTATGCATATGTTATCTTAACTTTAATACATTAAATCTTTAAACCTTAAATCTTGTTAAATTAAATCTTATTTGCTTAATAAATATTTTGTATAATATATTTAAAGACAATTGGTAATTTTTCAATATATATAAGAAATGTTCATATTACTTAAGTAAATAGAAATAAGTAGAAGTAAGCAAAAACATATTATATAAATAATATATTCTTTTAGAAACTTAAAGAAGTTTTATAGATATAAATTACATCTTTATATTTTTATAGATATATTACATGGCTATTCAAACTTATTCAACAAATTTCTTATTTTTAAAAAGTTACATTAGTAGTACCCTACAACTTGACAATTGGGCCATAAATCTTATTGTCCTTAAAAAAACTTCCACAATGCCTTTTTGATAGCTAATACATATAGAGGTAAGACTAAGATTATCTTCACTCTTGTTAATTCTTTTCATGTATTCCAATCTTAATTTAAGTTTCCATAATTTCTTTATATTTAATAATGGTCATTCCAATGTTTTTTATTTTGACATTATGTCTTACTTACTTCTTACTTTTCAATGACACAGAAATATATTATTTTTTCAAATAAAATTCTAAATTCATGTCCTTGACAAAGTAAAAATGACCCATTTTGGACATTCAGGAAGCAAGATTACTGATTACTTCTAATAACCACCCTTTATGAATGGCAAAATCTCTGGTGAGTGAATAGGAACCATTTGCACACAAGATAGCCATAGGCAGCAATGGATTGACAACATTCATCAACTAAAGTACAAGCTTAGCAATGTCTTGCTCTGCCCAAGCTTATCACTGGGAGTTACATCACTGATTAAGACAATTCATCCTCCATTGACTTGTCTTTGTTATATCCCTTGGAGAACGAAAGCACGCCAGGTAGAGTTTTAGATTACGATGAGGAAACCGAAACGAGCACAATGCTCAAAAGCCAAAATCGTAGATTTATTAGAAACCATGTCACACTACATACAAAAATTTGAGGAGCTGAGTAGCTAATGTCTTGTACAATAAGACTTGAATGCTGTTTCAAGTTCATGACCTATACTGTGCTATGTATGAGATACACATGCAGCTATGAATGACCAAATTGTCTCAAAAGCCAACCCAGCCAAAGTGGTTAGCTTTATATCAATTTTTAACCGACCCGTTCAGAGACTCAACTAAAAAAGAAATTTATTCTTTTCATGAAGCTCGTCTATTAACCTTTCTGTTTGAGAGTAATCTTGTCTCCAAGGCTGAGGGCAATGCCCTGCGTTTTACTTCTGATTCGGACATAGCCACTGAGCTTGCCATCCGATTGCTTCTCAACACTGACATTCACCAACGCATCCTCTCCAAACACGCTCTTCGCATAAAGATTTGCCGCCAAAAAGCCACAATCACCTTCCAAAGCAGATCTGCATGTACAAGATTCAAGTGTGTTACAAACTCGGATCATTTCACTTAAACTGTGGCAAAAGTTTGATTGAAAAAATCATCAAAAGCTATCACGTTACAGGGATAGGTATATTCCAAAATACCACATAGGATAGACAAAAAGAAAAGGGCAGTGACGAGTTACTTCGATATCAATGCTTTATATCAATGCTTTGATGACTAAAGAATGGAACTTACGGAGGAGTGAGACACTTCATGTTTGTAGAATCAACAATATGCTGCAAGAAACCCCGCACCACTTGTATGGTAGTGTTAATCGCCACCTATATCCAAAAATAGAAACTTCTCAATACAAGCTCAAAGTTCTTGACAAACATGTTTCGTAAAATGGACCTATGCTAATATATCTTCCAAGAATTATTCATGATTGGTCACATTTCTACTTTTAAAAAACACAAGATTTTTCGATAGCGTCAATGTCGAGATCAAAATGCTGAATCAATAACGTAGGATACGAAACGAAACGAATTTACGGCCAAAATAAAAAGGAGCACTTGGTACCTTGTTCTCCCATTCAAACTCTGCCCACATGTTGCGGAAAGCTATATCAGTACACGAGGCAGGAGCGATGTAGTCCATGATGTCAATGTGGATATCATTCAGCACCACCACATTACGGTCAAGGACAGTGCTCGACTCGTACACAATATTTCCGAAAATGACACCCGTCTCTGTAGAAGAAACCTTGATGTTTGCTCGAATTTGCTTGCTAGTATTAGGAGCAAGAGCATAATTCTGTGGACGTTCTACTAGCTTCAAATCACCCATAGTCGCAAGCTCTAGACAGAGATTTTGAAGAGTCTCTGTTGTTCGGTTGTGAACAGTGACATCCAAGACTATATCGTATTGATGAACAGTAACATACGCTTCTGCATAGACCGGGTCGCTGAACCCTGTCAATTGGAGGACTTTGTTCAATTTCCTCGAGTCGCCCTCTTTTGTAGATTCTCCAGTTGCTCTTTTGAGGTCATCTTGCACTTCATCCTCCAGCTCCATTTGGCTCATGCCCTGCTCAGATACAAGAAAGAGACCAAACAACCATCAGAATATGTTGGTTCAGTAAGAATGGCTAAATTCATTTTAATTATACATGTGTTGCTCATACATCAACGGGCACATGAGCGTTGAAAGGGACAAAAGCTCACAAAACTCTGAATGCGCACAACAAATAATACAAGAAATCTTTAATTTTAAGAGAGAGCGGGAGAAGTGGTGGTGGTGGGGGGGTTATAGACACCAATCCCGCTACGAGCTCTAATGAAAGCTCATTGCTTCAACGGTTTGATGCAGTGAGTCCACTAAAGGACTCAAAATTCATCGTGGGTGTTTCAAGGTATACCTTTGTTCGCTTCAGGTGATAGAAATCGATTAAATCATCGGGCTGGGCATATGAATCCTGTGCTTTCGCCTTCTTCTCTTCCATTTCCCTACAGATTTTATCATCTATCATCATTGCAAAACTTGATCGGCAGTTCTTCAACCACACCGACTTCATCACCTGGTCCTTGTTGGCAAGAACCCTGATGCACAGCGTGATCCGATCGTATGCATCGTCATCAATGGGATGAGACAAAGCGGAAGACTGGCCAAGTCTGAGCATGGAAACCATGTATAAAAGAACGTCAGCTTCAGCTCTGTTTGCAGCCACTTGGTTCTCCTGAACATCTTCATAACGCAACATCAGTTTTGTGAGTGTGCTTGCCACCACAGCTCCCAGGAAGAAATCTCCCGTCAGTAAGATTGTCCGTAGATTGGCAGAAGAACCTACGGCTACTGATGTCAATGAGGGGGCCGCAGAAGAAGCGGCAGCACTTTGGGTTGCGTATGTCCCATCTGCTAAAATTGCGGGCCGCTTGGAAGAAGCCAGAGAAGCATGCTGCAGAGCAGTGGCTTTGGGAGTTGAAGGACCCTTGTTGCTGACAGCTGTATCAACCACATCGCCCTCCTCAGCAGAAGTAAAGAATGGAAGTTCGCCTAGTGATTGCTTAATTACAGAAATACCTGACTCTACTTCGCTTGCCGACAGTGAATACTCCCCAATAATCCAGAGAGCACAAGTAGCCACTCGCGAGGACCGGATCTGATAGAAAGTGTCCACCAACCTGGCAAGAATCGATTCCCGCAACTTGGTGTTTGTTTGAATGATTTCTCTTACGAAGCACACAACATCGATCGCCGATGCCACGTTAGAATCCCCCAAAAAGTCCATCAACAAATGAACCACCGTGCTAGCCACTTCTGGGAACTTCAAGGCACACGAGTGAATGGCCTGCACAAGCATTTGCCTATACTCGCCGTTCTTCTCCAGATCCCCGTTCTGTGTCTTTACGACCTCCTTCTTCAAGGTCATCACAACCTCGTCAATATTGCGAAGGGTAACGAGGTCCATCGCAATGTCAAGCGTCTTTTTACGGATATCCAAATTGGGGCTTGAAAGAGCACGCAGAACGTCCATTATAACCTCCATCATGACCTCTCTGTGAGAAGTTTTGAGCTCCTGGAGACGATCGAGGACAATCAACTTCACATTGTTATCGCTCTGAGTTTGAAGCAGTTGGCAGTACGCATTGGCTGCGGCTCGGACAGCTGTCGGGGCAGAAGAAAGGGACACAAGAGTTCCCGCACTCTCATACATCACCGCCGCATATTGAGAACTCAACAATGACACTATGATTTTTATGTATCTCCCCTTAACCTCGGGATTGGTCCGGCAGACCTTGCGGATAAGCTCAAGAACCACCATCTGGAAAGTATCTCCCCACGACGATACCTTATCCAAGTGACCGAGAAGGTAAGCCACAGCCCGCTCTTGCGCACAATTGAAAAGCATGAGAAATGCGTTACGAAGGGCAGACTGATCTTGCTCCTGATGAAGAAGCTTTTCAATGAGTTCAGGGGCGTCAGGTATAAGGTGGTCCCCTTGAGGAAGTTTACAGATAGCTGTAATCGCAAGGATGGCATTCCTCTTCACAAATACATGTCGATGCTCCAGGTTAGCCAACACTGAAGGAATGAGAGGCTCAATTAGCTCTGCCTCCATAAGTCTCGACAGAAACCGCAATGTCACCCCTCGGATATACTCATTGGGGTGCTGCAAGTTATTCCGGAGATTCTGACAGATAAGGATCATTTCCGGCAGTACCTTCCCCCGCGAGTCCGTCTTGTCTATGATTTCTAAGTACAGCAGCAAGAGCTTCTGAATGGTGTGATCCTCGGAGGGAAGTACATACCGAACAATGGTGATGAAAAGGGTAGGAATAGTTTCACCGTTGAGCAGCAGCATTATGGCTTTCTTCATGGCATCTACTTTCGCCTCAACGTCATGCCCCTCCAAATGCTCCTTGATTTCATTTGAAAGAGCGGGAGTCCCCTTGTCGAAGTGCACTAACAACGTACACGTCTTCTCCATGCTAGCCATTTTTGCAACCCCCTGAAGCCGCACAAAAAGATCTCGTCAACTAAAGAAAGAGATAAACAAAGGGAAAAAAGATTCTGCGAACCAACATAAGGATATGGTCGTCTGTCTCAGCTCCTCCTGACCAACGCAGTCCTACCTCCATCGATTCGATCGACTAAAATCTAAACTTGTCTCGCTCGAATACCTTACCCTAATCCGAACCACTCCCAGAGTTCTCAGTCCCAGGGACGAAACGAGAGACCATCGCAGCAAAACCTAATGCACATATCAAGCGTGGAATCCCTCCGAATGCAATAAATCGATACTCGGAAGATACTAGACAAAACCTCCGCCAGCATTTCCTAACAAGCATGGCAGCAATCAAACAAAAGGTAAGGAGTGTCGACAATACCCGAAGCTCGCTTTCCGAACTCGCGCAACCGTGATGTTAAAACAGAAAGGATCGACCAACTTCCAAGCAGCGCCGGATCACGAGGGACAGGGTCATGGAGTATGGTTGGTGGCGCTGGAATGATTGACGACGCGATGCGTGCGATGATCGGCGCAGCGGAGCTCGCAAAATTATTGACCAGAGCACGGCAGAACCTCTCGGAGAAACCCGGGGGCACTGCAGCGATCTTGGGCACCTCCGCTGACGAAACCTCCGCTGACGAAACCCGACCTGCAGTGCCTCACGAGTCTTATTGTTTCTTTATGATTTATTCTTGTGCTTTATTTGTTTCAAATTTTTTAGTTTTGAATTCAATATCACATTTAATGGTTTTAATCTAAATAATAAATTTTTTAAAACTATTTCAATCTAAAATTTGGTCTTATATAAGGAAGACTAAAAAAAATCATGGCTACAGTATTTTTCAAAGGTAGTCCTTTTGTGATTTTTTTTCTATACCTAATAATTAAAATGAGCGTCATATTGGCTACTACAAAGCACAAATATTGATCCTAAAATAAGATTAACACTATTTTATTTTTTTTTATGTTTTGTAATTTTTTTGCAAGTTAAAAAAAATATTTCTTTTGCATTATATTTGATATATGAATATGATAGAGGACATTGAAGAAAACAAAGTCTATGGCTTCATACACATCTTAGAATATATTAAACAATTGTACTTAGATTGGATTTTTATTGGCCATGAAACAACTCATTGTCAAGTAATAATGCTATGTAATCCCATAATCAATTGTTGTCATGGACAAATATATATATATGTTTACTTTAATAATTACCTAGATAATATAAATAGGTAGAAGTAGATTTAAATAGATAAATTTGATAATATCTTGTAAAAAATCTTCTTAAAAGCTTCATAGACGTGGCTTTGATTTTACACGTATTTGTAGTCAATTAATAGGTTAGAAACTTAGTGAATAACATAGTCACATGTTGCATATGTTTTTTAACTTGTGGTACAAGTTAATTATGTAGGATGCATATAGAAAACTTTTCTTATAAGTTAAGTCATGTGTCTTGCAAGTTAGACACCTCTCGAATGTCTTATAGAACATCACGATATAGCTCATAGTTAAATAGTATATATAGAGGCAAAAATAAAGCCTTCTTTATTCTTATCAATGCCTTTTTAGTCCTTTATCTTGTTTCAAAACTTTTTAGTCTTTTTGTCTTTGGCAATAGCCATTTTAATTTAATATTATATAATCTTTGAATAATTTTTTAGTCTTTTTGAGTGACACAAGAATATATTAATTTTTTTTTTCTTTAAAATTCATGTCCTCAATAGTTTGATAAGAGTGTTAACTTACTATTCTTATTTTGTTTTTAAAAGTGAATAAATTATCTCACTTCTATTGAAGGTTGTGATTTTATCTACCTTTAAATTAATAATTTAATTTTCTAACACTATTTTTTTCTTAAAGAGAATAGACTACTTTTCTTTGTGGAAATTTTTATTTGGCATTAGAAGTTGCAAATTACCTTCTTTTAATTTGACTTTTGAGTTTATTTAAGTCATTTATAGAAAATTTTTTATGGATGCTTCTCTTAGTAGAAGTGAATATAGATTTACAACTATTGCAAATCTTTATGAGTTTGTCAGCATTTTTAGGATTGAAATCTCACATGTTTCTAATATGAATCATGGAGATACTATTCATATGCTTATGAAAGAAGTTAACAAGAAGGTTCAAACTCTATGCCAAGAAGTTGTGCAATTGAGAGAAACAAGTAGATTAAATTCACAATTGAATACAAGAAGTCTTACTTTTATAAGTATGAAAGAGGCAAGGATAAATATATCAAAGAAGTTTGATAAAACAAGATTAAAATTTCAAAGATTTTTACAACAAATGAAGCTCTATCTAAGATTACATCCTTCTCAATATCCTAATAGATTTACTCAAGTTGGTTTTATAGATGCACTTCTATCTAAAAGTATTTATTTTTATTTTTTATTTTTACTTTTAATGAAAAAAGATTTACTACTTCTTTATGATTTGAATTCATTCTTAAAAATATTTATATCTATATTTAGAAAAAGTGATCAAAAAAAGATAATAGAGCCCAAATTCTTATTTTTATGACAAGGATCATATTTAGCCACCATATATGCTACAAAATTCCAAAACTTTGCTTGCAATATAGATTGAAATGAAAAAGTCTTTATTAATTAATTTTAATATGGATTAAAAGATAATATCAAAGTTTTTTTATGAAAATATTTAAAATATACTCATTGGAGAAATTTATTGCTTAAGCCATTATATGAGATAATGACTTCTTTGAAGATGCAAAGAAAAAAGGTTTGATTGAAGAAGTATAAGTCAAGTCATGGTAACAACTTTTTAGTTTTCAAAAGCTTATTTATTAAGGCCAAAATCTATACAAATTGACATAGTATGTTTTAAACTTCTTATTGAACAAAAAAAGATTAGACATTATCAATAAGGATTGTACTTTTATTATAGAGAACCTAAACACACTACTCAACATTATCCAAAGAAGCAACATAATCACAGAATGAAAAGCATAATTGCCAAAGAAGCCAATGTATCAAAAAACAAATTTTTTCAACTACAATAAGAACTGTGAGATTGAAATCTTGCATAACACCTGATAAATGTCTTATTATCTTTTTAGATCCTTCACCTTATTTTACATAAAAGTTTGTTTAGGACCAAAAAATCTCAAAGTTTTTGCTTTATTATATTTAAGAGTCTGAGTTTGTTTTATAAATATATATATATATATATATATATATATATATATATATATATATATTTAAAATAAGATATATTTTTAATTAAAAAAAAAAAACTTGTGCATATAAAAGTCATAGATGTTCATTTATCAACAGACTTTAGAGACGTTATCTATGAAACAATTCTTTTAGATGTAACACTAAAGTTTATAATAATTTAATGATATTAAATATGATTAAATCTCCTTTTAATCTAGTTATTTTAGAATTATTATGGCTTGAGAAGTATAATCTTCAAATATATTAGATTTTTTATAACCTTGATTTTTTTAATAATTTAGTTTAAAATATTTTTAATCAAGTACAAATCCATAAGTCTATTACAACAAAATCCTTATTGATGTAAGAGCTTTTATGCATGCTACAAAAAAAAAAGATTAATATTACTATTCACTCCTTATTAATATTTGATAGATGAAAGACTTCAAATAGAATTTTAAACAAGTACTCAGATTATTAAAATATTTTTAAGAAAAAAAATGTAAATATTTTTCTAAGACATTGTTCCTATGATTCTTCCATTGATCTTTAAAAAAGAACTCAGCTACTATTTGGACCAATTTATAGCTTATCACAAAAAAAATTGATTGTACTCAAAAAATAATTGATAAGAACTTGGCTAAAAACTTCACACTCCATTCTAAATCTCTAACAAAAATTTGTATCTTATTTGTAAAGAAAAAAGATAGATTTCTACAAAAATGTGTAAATTATTAAAGATTCAACAAGATCACCATCAAAAAATTGTAACATCTACTTTTGATTTCAAGATTTCTTGATCAATTCAATCAAATAAAGATCTATATAAAAATAGATCTATAAGGAGTATACAATGTAGTATGTATTAAAAAAAGAGATGAATAGGCAACTATATTTTAAATCAGTTATAGACATTTTGAATATAATATCATGCCTTTTAGACTCACAAATATACCAATTACTTTTTAATATCTAATAAACAATGTCTTTTGTGAGTTTCTTGATAATTTTGTCATTTGTTATCTAAACTACATTTTAATTTACTCTAAAAAAACAAAAGACTATAAACTTTATATTTGTTGTGAATTACAAAAACTAAGAAATGTAGAATTATATGCTAAGAAGTGTGTATTTCATATTATTTAAGTTGACTTCTTAAAATATATCATTTCAAACAATGGCCTTATGATAGATCCTAAGAAAGTCTAGACTATCATGGATTAGAAGATTCCAAAAACAGCCAAAGAAGTGCAATGTTTTTGAAAATTTGTCAATAATTATCAAAACTTCATCAAAAAAAAAATCTTAAATTGCAGCTCTTCTTATACATTTGACTTATAAAGACAAATTTAAGTAGAGTAGAGAAGTTGAAGCATCTTTTGAAGTTTTGAGACCATATTTATTTCTACATCAATCTTATATTGTGTCGATTTTTTCAAAACATTCTTTATAGAAATAAACATATCAAACTTTTTTATAGGTATAATATTGTTGCAAATATGAATAGATGGCAAGCTCCATTCAATAGTTTTTTATTCCAAAAAAATTTCAACAATGAAGATCAATTACAAGATCCATAACAAAGAACTTTTTGTAATTATAGATTCATTTCAAGAATGGCATCATTATTTAGAAGATATTTATAATCTAATTATTGTATATAAAAATTATAATAATCTTGAATATTCATGTCAATATGTTTTTTGAATCATTTTCAAATCCATTAAAGTATGTCTTTATTAAGATTTGATATCAAAATTACTTATCAACTTGAAAAAAAATAAGGTTTATTAAATGCCATTT